GAAACCGTCGCTGAGCACTGCAATCTCTTTCCCACAAATGTCGTACTTGACCCGTTCCATCACCAATAATTTGAATCTCAACATGATGAAACCCGTCCACAGCAGCTTTCTCCACAAACACAGTCCGAGACGGCGACTCGCCAATCGCTCTCTGAATACTATTATCCAGCTCATGCTCCTCGCGTACGAGGCGAATCCCGCGACCGCCTCCGCCATCGACAGCTTTGATCATAACCGGGAACCCAACCTGCGTAGCAAACGCACGTGCTTCGTCCACGTTGGTGGTAGGTTGGCTCATGGCTTCTAATACAGGGACTCTGCATTGTTTCGCTAGTTGTTTTGCCTGTAGCTTATCCCCCGTTCGGGCGAGATTTTTCCATCCAGGTCCTATGACGAGAGACCCGGCTTCGTGCCACATGCGATACGCGAATTCGGCGCTCTCGCTGAGGAATCCATACCCAGGATGCACAGCGTCAATAGAGTATTTTTGGGCTATATCTATCAAAAGGGAAATGTCGAGATATGACGACGCCGATGGAATTTCAATCGCATGCTGCGGTCGCCCTAGATCGCAGTGTGATCGGTCGTCTGATGTGTAGAGACTGAATGTCTCGATGGGCTCGGGTAATTCTCGTGCTGCATGCAGAATACGCACGGCTATTTCTCCTCTACCAAATATCAGAGCATGTTATAATATCATCTGTAGAAGTTCATACCTGTTGGCGACTAACAATCGCTTGATGGGCCGTGAGTGCGGGGATGACATTTGGGGCGAAAGGGGGAAATCTGGGGTAATTGTATGTATATGAGCAAGTCAGATTAATGAGATAGATTATAATAAAATAAATTATAATTCAAATAGAGATCAATTGGAAGATTCAAGATATCTCATTAGAAGATATTTCTATCCAACGTATTATAGCTCTCGACATGGTCGACCTCGGCTCTCGGATAGTCTGACCACCCCCTCAGTAGACCAAATCCTTAAACAATCTCCAATTCTACATACACTGTACACGATATACAAGGAAACCAAACCAAACCATATCAATTGATACATCATGACTAAAGACAACGACAACCCATCAACCAGAACAGGCAACCAAGCCACGGACCGTCTAAACCAGGTCTCATCCCATATATCCCCACCAAAAGACCAACCAAGAAAGTCCAAGTCAAAATCAAAGTCCACAGAAAATCGCCTCCCAGCAGACCATTCAGATGTACTGGATCAACTAGCAACGCTCCGCGCAATAGCCGCAAAACCAGACCCCAACAACCGAGGCTACGTCCGCCAAAAGCAAGCAGGCAAGCTATGGGTGCGCGAGCGCATTGAGCAACTCCTAGATCCAAACAGCTTTCAAGAAATTGGCTCCGTCTCAGGCACGGTAACATGGCAAAAGACCGCGCCGATGCGCGAGAAACCCGTCTCCTTCGTGCCTAGCAATAACGTTCAAGGCGCTGGACTGCTTCGCGGCAGGAAGGTCCTCCTCACAACTGATGATTTCAGTATTCGGTCTGGACATGCCGACGGTGCGAGTGTAGGTAAGACGGTTTATGTGGAGAAGCTTGCTATTGCGCTGCGTTTGCCGGTTGTTAAGCTTGTTGATGGGAGTTCTGGGGGTGGGAGTGTTACGACAATTCGGAAGGAGGGGTGGAGCTATCTTCCACATGTTGCGTCTTTTCCACATGTCATTAAGCAGTTGAATATGGGGATTCCAAATTTGGGGGCTGTTGTTGGGCCTGCGGTGAGTTTTGCTCTAATATTTCCTCTCCATCTTGTTCTCCTTTTTGCTTTATATAACAACCCATCTGATATTGGTTGATACAAGCGGAACTGACCGGTCGTGTAGATTGGACTTGGCGCCGCGAGAGTGGTATCTTGCCATTTCTCTGTGATGGCAGCTGACATTGGAGCACTGTTCAATGCAGGTCCAAAGGTTGTCGAGGGTGCAACATTCGAAGAAGGTCTCGACTTTCAAGATTTGGGCGGGCCTATGGTTCATTGTATGAACGGCACGATTGATAATCTCGCCGCCAATGAAGCAGAGTGCTACGAGCAGCTGCGTGTAGTTCTGAGTTACCTCCCCAACAGCGGTAGCGATGCACCACCAACAATTCCCTGCACTGACTCGGAGGAGCGTGAGGACGTTGCGCTGCGGAGTATCATCCCTCGACGACAAGCACGAATGTACAATGCCCGTTCAATCATCACATCTGTAGTTGATAAAGACTCCTGGTTCGAGATCGGAGCATTATGGGGTCGCACTGCAATTGGTGGACTTGCGCGTCTGGGTGGCCGTCCTGTTGGAATTATCTCGCTCAATTGTGAAGTGAATGGAGGCGCACTGGATGCCGCCGGCAGCCAGAAGTTAACACGGCTGCTGAAACTGTGTGATGTGATGAATCTGCCTATCCTTCAGTTTTTGGACGTCCGTAAGTGACCTTCTTTCATCCTAACTCATGGAAATGAGCTGACATGCGGTTTGAAGCGGGATATGCCATTGGTACTATTGCTGAGCGCACGGCGACAATGCGTTGGGGCGTCGAGCTCGCCAAGGCTTACTTCAGCACCACCGTGCCGGTCTTCAATGTAGTCACGCGACGAGTGTTTGGTGTGGCGGGTGGTGTTATGTTGGGTTGTCGTGATCCGGTTATGCAGGTTGCTTGGCCGTCTGGGCAATGGGGTTCGTTGCCTCTGGATGGCGGAATTGAGGTTGGACATCGGCATGAGTTGCGCGAAGCTGAGAAGGTTGGGAAGAAAGAGGAACGATATCAAGAGTTGGAAGAAGAGTATCTACGGTTGATGAATCCGGTGCGTACAGCGAATGCGTTTGGAATCGAGGAGATTATCGACCCGAAGGATACGCGGAAGGTTTGCTGTTCTTGGGCATCACATGTATATGAGGTGCTACTCAAAGAGAGATTAGCAGACCGAGCTTGTGGGAAGCTCCAGCCTTCTTTTGCCTAATAGAAATTTGAGCTTGTTATGATACGTGAAACAGTTTAATGATACTCCGTGAATCAATATAGGGACACTAAGAACAACTTACGCGTCAAATAAAAAAACAATAACATCGCGCTAGAACGAAACCGCAGCCTCAGATATTTTAAGCCAAAGGCCAAAATGAGCTGGAGTCCGCCGATATACTCTCCGCCGACTCGAGCTCATTACCTATTGCACGTTAGTGCGGATGATAAGGGGCATGTATAACCTGTCCCATCGATATATCATACCAGGTGTTATCTTACATTTGATTTATGTTGAATTTTATTATAGCCATTAAATAATTTACTTGGTGATACAGTGCACAAATACGTTCTTATACCATAAACAAGTGCGAAGTGGAGCTTGGACGAACAAAGACGACCTAAATTCCCCTTTAATCCTAACATCTCACATTCAAGGCTATATACCTTAATATATTTGCGCCTTTTACGGTTGCTAAATGCGTAGGGCCTATCTTCAGATGTATTTCCCCATAGGTAGGGTTTCATACATAGTCGGAGATCTCTAACCTAATCTCTCCCCGATTTCTACGTGATAGTTTGCGCATCGGCGATATTTTTGGTATGGATGCTAATTACTCTTATAGTTTCGATGGAACTAGAATGATTAGTCTTTACCTAGTGTTTATAGAGGTAAAAACGAAATGTCTAGCTTCAAATAAAGGACTTATGTCCTAAAACCCTTTATTTATTTAGCTCACTACTTCTATAGATCTATCATATCTAACATAATTCCTCCTGATTTCTATATGAAATTAAACACTGACGACTGTTTGCTTATACTTGTCAATTCCCTTTATAGTTTTGATAGAGAATGATTAGTCTCTGGCTAGTGTTTATAGTCAAATAATAAAGTCTTCTATTCTTTTCGCTTGATATTTGTATGAATCCATTATATCATATCAGACCTAATCCATCCTATCTTCTACCTGATAGATTACGAATTGACTATAACCACTTATTCTTTTGGTAGAGGATACTCCGTCTCTACTTGGTAGTTATGGAGGTAAAGGATGAAAGGTCTAGATTAAGATAAAGAACTTCGCTCTCGAAATTAAAGGCTATTAATATAGTCAATGGGCTCTATATAGATCAATTGCATTATCTAGCTCATTATCTAGCTCATTATCTATTTAAACATATAACTATCTACGGATGTATGCCTCTATAGATAGGTTTTCATACATAGTTGGTGATCTCGAGCTCAATTCCTCCCCGATTTCTACATGATAGTTTGCGCATCGGTAATAGCCCTGCTATAGATGCTATAACCTTCTACACTTTCGGTGGCGCTAGAATAATTAGTCTTTACGTAGTGTTTGTAGACTTAAAATTGGAAGGACCGGCTTCGTATGAAGGCCTCGTGCCCTAAAGTCCTTTAACTGATTGCTTCTTAGATGCCCTATATCCCTCAGCTCACTGTCTCTTGTACCTAGATAGAGGCATGTTATAATTGTACGTCTATCTTGGGATGAATAGATCTAATTGCCCCAGTATAAAAGGCTTCTTCACGATTTTCCTTCCTTCTCCTTCCCTCTCTTCCCTCACCACCCTTAATTGCAGATCTTTCTTTCTTCTTAAGCAACTCTCATCTCAAACTCAGATTCTTTTGATCAAAGGTAAGCTTCATCATATCGTCTTTATCTTCATCAGCAGCTAACTTCAATATCATCCAGCCCAGCCCCGTCATCACTTATCATCTTCTACGAGAATCCTCGGCGAGAATCTTCACGATAGTCATCATTGGTAAGCTTCATCATATCATCTCCATCACATCACCTCCATCATATCATCATCAGCAGCATCTAACTTCATCAGCAGCTACCTCATCATTGAGCATCGCATCGTCGACGGACATATCCACGAGCATATCTACCTTTATCCTCAACAGTAAGCTTCACCATATCATCTTCATCAGCAGCTAACTTCATCAGCAGCCATCTTCTACACCATAGTTGAACATCCCCACAAACCTTTTATCCCCCATCAAAATGCAGCGCGACGTTCAGGCTGCTGCCTTGGAGAACTTCCAGGAAACCCGAGACGCCTTCGTCAAGGACCTCGAACAACTGTCCGGCGGATACAAACACGGCAAAACAATTCCTCAGATCCAAGCCGACCTCTACAAGCTCATCAACACCCTGTCAATGTGGACCCTGATTCGAGCGGGCACCGAGAAGGAGGGTACTTGTTTTGAAGAAAGATGTCGAAATCTGATGGGCCTAATTGACGACGTGATCAGCATGCTGCAGCTAGACATCGAGATCGTGGACCGTGTTACACGAAAACTTTTCGACATGGCAACCATGCAAGTCGGAAGTCTGACTCTGAACGGCTTCAGCAATGACGACGTGAAGGCAGTTTACAACGCCAGAATGATCGAAGATGAACAGTACAGGTGGGAGAGAAAAAAATTGTGGGAAGACTGCTCTAGACAGTCCTTGCTTCGCAGTTTCTGGGCCCGATTCTACTACAAAGGATATGATTGCATTTGTCGTCAATGTATGGACCACTACTTTCCTAGAAGGTCGCCCACCCCATCTCCTCCCCTTTCCCCATTGCCCGAAACTGACATCGATTCATATGTGACTACCTCGAGCGAAGAGGAGTGAGTGAGACATGATCCCTATTTCTTTTTTCCTTTTGTTTTCGCTATTTTCCTTCTTTTTTTTTTACGGTGAACACGTCGTGAAGTCAAGTTTTGCGATATCAAATTGTTTCTGGACAGAGCGTTTATGGTGGGACAAATTGTTTATGGGGGCGTTATGGACAAATTGCTTTTGAGATTTTGAATTGGTGGAGGATGTGCTTTTTTTCGGTGAAGTTGGTTTTCGGTCAAGTTGTTTTTTCGGCGTTTGGAGTTCAGGGTTTGAAGTTTTTAGGGCAAATTGCTACGAAGGGTTGGGACAGATCGTGATTGGGACAGATCGTGATTAGGGCAAATGAAAGTGTGAGAGTAATTGAATTTACAAATTGTAGAAAGTAGTCGAGTAAGATAAAAAGAACAGTAAGAAATAGTAAAAATCTTCTATTAGGTAAAGAAATGCTAATAAATGCGAACAGAGTCGAAAGAAACGAAACTGATATTGGTCTACACAATCAAATCCGAGAGTCGAAAGTTGGACAAAAAGCTCTAGGTAATGGTTTGCTACTGCTGTGGCTATGATAATTAGTAGATATGTGGGAAAGGTCAGCTTTTGTATAGGGTCGCAGGGTAACAGGGTAAAGTTCGCAGGGTTATAGAATGAATTTAGAAAGCTTCTAACTAAACCGGTCTCTTCTTGATTAGACTAAGAGATAGTAGAATATCATGTCCTGCCTAGACGGTACCTGCTGGTTTTATATTCATCCTGCGAGAGTTACCCTGTTACCTTGCGACCCTATACAAAAGCCGACCTTTCCCATCATTCCCCAGCCACTTACGGTGGCGCGAAATCGGAAGACTGCCAAGTACTGCTGAGGGATTGATTTTGAGTAATACCAATGTGAAACACTATAATTGTGAATACTGTTAATGGGTATTTTGGATCACAAAAAGTGAAGCTAAATTTCCTTTCCCTTGGAGCGCTCAAATAAATTAGTAGTACAACCGAGTGTTTATATACATTTTACACCATCTCACACCAAACGGATAGCGACATATGCCGTGCAACCATCTCCAAAGTGTATTACAACCTCTTCCAATAACAAAATCTCTTACTCCCTCGAATCTCCATTTCAAACGGGACACTTCCCTGGCTTCTCCTCTTCCAACGAAACATCAACAGGCACCGGGGCAGGTGCAGCAGGCTTGGGCGGAGTAGGCGCGATCCAAAATGCAGGATACCGACGGTGCAAATTATTGAACAGCAGTGCACACACCAAGAGCATAACCGAAGACAACAGAACTACAGGCAAGTAGTACCAAGAAAGCTGCCAAATTTCATCACTGGTAGCCGGAAGCAAAGCAGTCGCTCCAGCAGGCGGGTGGGTAGTACCCGTCAACTGCATTACGACAATAGCAATAGCCGTTGAAAGGGAAGCGGCTAGCCAGCGCAGGGACTCGAACCGCGCCTGGTCGGGCATCAGACTGAACAATTTGGTAACGCAGACGCCAATTATGGCGCTGAAGAAGTGACCGAAGACTAGGGCGCGCGGTTGCGCGAGGGGACTTTCGATCGCGCCGAAGACGAGGACGGCGGATGCACCCTGGTTTGGTGTGAGTCAATGTGGATATTTTTCAGAATGCGATGTTATTTGCCACTTACATAGGATGCGATTATACCTGGTACATTGCGATCGAGGAAATAGTCGGAGTAATTGAAAATTGCTTGCACGACTGATAGACCGCAGAATGAGGTTATGAAGGACCATAGAGCGACTTCATATTTAGAGAGTGGCTTCACGGCCTCTGGGCGATAGCCGAGCCAGTGGCTGATCCACCGGGGGAGACGGGCGAGGCGAGAGGCCATGAGGAAGATTAAAATTATTAATCTATACAGGAGAAAAAGAAAGAAAACAAAATGGGTCAATTTAAAGACGTTAAAGACGCTAGAATGAATTTGGGGGGGGAAAAATTGGAGAAAAGGCCGTGCGGAGAGGAATGTGAGGAGAAGCAATTGATGACAAATTTATATGCACAATATTTTTTTATATACAGACTTATAGGTATACACGGCTCATTATAATTACACCTTATACTGCTCATGCAACAGGTCACGGCTAACAATATGTGACTCGCCCAATGTACCCTTCATCACAAGTACCAGGTCATCCACTGCAGACAGGAACTTGAGGTATGCGCTGACGGCAACACAGAATCGGCGATAGTTCTCGTCGCGGATCAAATCCTTGCTTAGCATAATATCCACGTGGCGCGACGTCCAGAAATCGTGGCAACGGTTGAGTAGTGGCGTTGGTAGCACCTCGGGGAGAGGATCACCCGTCTTGAGTGATTGTTCAACCACACCCAGAACAGCCATGACATCGCCGATATTGTGGTGATCAAGGAGACCAGCTTGACGAGCCAGGCGGCTTTGCAGATGTTCTGGTAGCGAAGCAGATAGGTAAAGTAGGCGAGCGATGTTTTGGTTGAGATCTTGGCATAGCGATTGCACTTGGCCGAGACGGTCGCTGTCAAATGGCGAGCTGGAAAATTCAAAGCGCAGCAAAGCGATGGGGCCGTCCAGTTCGGCGAGATTCTCAGCGACGTTAAGGGCCAGCTTCTCTGCGGCTAGGCCTTCTTCGCGCCCTTGTCCCCAGCAGGATAAGAGGAGCGCGTAGTGGTCCGAGAGTGAGCGAATGACATTGGAAAGAGACTTGCAGACGTGTCGCGACGCAGACGGTGGGCGAGGGAAGAGCTGTACGATCAGTGCCGCTGCGGAGCCGATAAGAACAAGCACAAGTCGTCGCCAGAAAACATTATATCCCCAACCGGGATTGCCGTAGGTTGGGATGTGCCTGGAAAGTATGTCAGTTGTGTTGCTTCCTGCAATAAGGTAAAATTTACTTACGTATCCTCGAAGCTGTAACCAATAACCAAAATGCAGGTCGCACCAGCCATAATCATAGCTTGAAGCAGGGCAGGGGGGCGAAGATACGTCCCCACATGAGAATCACGACCACAACAGCCATGATAGCAGCGAGACCGTACGGATTACCTTCGCCGTGGCCGGAGCCGATATACCACGCAACTAAGCCAAGCAGACCGCCAAGAACGGTACCAATGGCTCGACAGAGAAGGGAGAAAGTGAAATCGGCCATGTATATGACGAGGGTGGTCTGCCCCATGATGAGGGCCCAGATTCCTTTCTCGCGGTAATAAAAACCCGCAGTGTGAGGTATCGCAGCAGGAATAGAGAGTGCGATGGTGACAGCCACCATGCGCATTGCATACAGACCTTCCGGGTTGATGAACCAGTGATAGGTGCCGATGACAGCGCGCGCAAAGCGGCTGCCTTTGTTGACACGATACCCTCTGCTGATGCGAAGATGGTGCTGTGCCGCTTTGGACTGCGTCTCTGCGACGTCGGGATCGATGATTGGGTTATGAACTGCGCTTACAGGGGCCACAGCATTTTTCCGACGGAACCAGTTGACTGCATATCGCAAGCCGTTGGGTAGCCACAGGCGGATCTTCTGGCGTTCACTCAGGAGAGCGACAAGCTGTCCCAAGACCCGCTCCCATCCGTCGACGACACCGAGCAACTGCTCTTCAAAGACCATTCCCATAGTGATACCCCGAACTCTGGGCAACGAAGTTTCGTCAAGGGCCTTGAGCATGCCCTTTTCGTCGAAGATCTCCGCATGTATTTCAATCAAACGTTCGGTGGTTTCCGTTGCAAACGATGTGCGGAGGGCCTGAAGATTCTGCAGCGCAGTCTGACTGCGCTCGTGCAACTGATTGAGCTGTTCCTTGGAAGGGCGACCGAACCAACGCTTGTTAACCGTATTAAGGGATTCCGCAATGATCTCAACAGCTTCCTGGCACGCCGGGATGATATCCTTGCTGGACTCGCGCAATACCTCGACAGTTTCCGATCGCATAGATTCATGTTCCGGGCTCCGCAGTGCTTGTACCAAATTAACACTCTCCATCAGCTGGCGCATGCCAACCTCGCGTGGACGTTTTTTCTCATTTCCATTAGCTTGAGATTCAGTATCGGAATCCCGATCCACAGTGAACTGGTGTAGCTTTTCTAGCTTCTTGTATCCCCCGATGCGGGCGATGTGGACTTCTAAAAGCGACAAACTATTTATCAAAGCCTGGCGAATCGGTTTCTTCATGGTCTTGACATCGTCAGCACCCCACCAACCGACGGAAAAGTCCAATGGCAAAAAGCTAAGTGCCGGTTTGAGATCCTTGTAAGCAGCAACGGCCTTCACCTTGATCTTTTGCAAATCTGCCATAGCCAAGTCTTCACCTTTCAGAAGACTGTTCTCCGTAGCATCCAGCGGTCCTTTGAGTAGCCGCACCAGATCCTCCATGCCACCAAGCACGACATGGGAGGTGGATCGAGGGAAAAAGATGAAATGAGAGACCAGGCCCAGCCCAATTCCAATAGCGGCAGGCTCAATCAAGACCTTGGGGATAGTACCGTTAAACGATGGAAGCAGCGGGCCAATGGTCAGAGAAACATCGATGATGATGATTGCGAAAATCTGCATCAGGATGAATTTGGGATTCATAGCCCGAAGACGAGACTGCGTAAAATGGTCAATGTACTGATGATCATGTCGGGTCAAGAAATTCTCACGATTAAATAGATGAACAAACAAATTAGGCAATAATAGACAGCTGTGACACGGGAGTCAAGCATCCAACCGGTGTAGACAAGCTCCTGCTGGACAACTGCGACTGGCCGTCCGGTGGCATTGGCCTGGCTCTGTGCGGTCTGTCCAAGGGCTTGAAGCCTGGCCTGGGTCTCGGCCGCCGGTCTGGCTGCCATAGCTGCCTTCATGACGACGACACCCCAGCCCCAGCCCAAAGCCATACCAATGATCAAGGTCAGAGTTCCTAAAACGAAAAGGAAAACAATGCCGGTCGGAGGCACCATGAAGAGTACCAGACTGATCGCAATAGGATTAGCGATTGATACCGAAAGGATACACATAGATGAGCTTACGCTGCAAAAAACGTCGCAGTACCAATGACGCTTAGGGACGGCATGATGAAAACCAACAGCATCGCCACCCACGCAGCTAGCGAACAACGGAACAGCATCTTAAGATCGCGGGCATTGAAGTGATCCAGCCACCCAGGCAGCTTTCTGCCGGGCTTGGGGGCCGCTGCCTTTACGGGTGAGGGAGACCCCTCCCCGTTAGATGTAAGCGGGGACGTCGCCGGCTGGGCATCTCGCTGAGAAGGTTCCATTTCAGTCATTCCAACATAGAGAGTGCAGACAAATGAGATTATCGGGAGGATGAAGCAGTTAGGAGTTGAAAGCGATAAATATAATTGGCATTCCTCTCGATAAAAGGGGAGAGAACGAGGGGACAAAATAAGATTTTACCGGTCTTCCAGGAGAACGAACGATCGGCGCTATTGACAGGGTTATTTAATAATATATCAGTCAACCTTGGAAACCCCGTTAAAATTGAAGGATCGTCGAAGGGCAAAGGGTTTACAAAATGGGAACATAGGGCAGAATTCGGAATAAAAGGGCGGAATAGAGAAGAGAGCCAATAGTGTAGTGGCAATCATATGGGCGGTAGGACGAAAAGCACATGTAAACAGGGGCCTAGGCCTAATTCGGCAGTCTTGGCGCTCTTAACTATGGTGTTATGTAAGCGGATCACCAGATGCCAGGCGCCTGTGCGCTCCAACCGGGCAAATTCATCGAAATTATCGAGCTTTACAGAGTGGGGTTGATCTAATGTAATTGTACGCAGATAGCAAGAACGGCAGAGAACCATGACTCTCTGCCGTGTTATAATAAACATGCCCTACTGTCTTGGATCGGCATTAAATCCTGCATACAGACTTATGCAGGATTTAATGCCGATATTCTGATGAAACTCGGCACTTGGCAGCATGTGGGCGCGGGAATCTGAGCCTTGGCGTGGACAGCTTGTTTCAGTCCATAAGGCTAATAATAATACAACGCCCCATAGGGAGCTTTAAAAGAATTCCCTGTTAGTTTCACCTGACACTATCGAACGCCTCTGCCATATTGGGCTTATGTGCGGCCGAAAGGAGATAAAAGGAAGTGAACGTGGAGCCCTATTATTGAGTAGGAAACTAATACCAAGAGCCCTCGGGTAAGGCAACAACAACAATAGCCTTGACTTATCCGTGCGTTCCTTGTCGAGTAAAAATCCGCTACTCCGTAGAGAGAGGAACCTTGGGATGACCCTAAGAACTGAGTCCTATAAGTCTGCGTAGTGTGGCTTTATCATTCAGGTGTCCGTTACTCGTTTTAGCATCTTCTCGACATGAACCAGATGCTCTTTGATTTTCAAATAACCCTCGTCCAAGGATGATTCAAACTTAATCATTCCACCATGATCAGCTTGAATGAAAATGTGTGACGAATTCTCCTGTAACGAAGACGACACAGCCTTGTTTAAAAACAACCAGCATAGTATAAGCAAATAGTCCACGGCTGAATGGTGATTATTCTCTTACCTGGTCCAATCTACTGTTTGTTGACAGAGAGTCGGGCCTCTCGTGAACAAATAAAGTCCTAAACTCTTGGCAGATCGATGGGTAGCTTTGTAATGTAGTGACCAACCAGTGTGCTTCCTTATAAATGTCACTGGAATCCTGCTCAGATCCTTTAGCACTAGCTAAGTAGCTTTGCAGTCCAATGAGCGTTGAATCTAGCTCGGGTGTTCCCATGAAGATAGCTCCGCGGGTTGAGAGTTTGATGCCACGAAGGTCCAAAGTATGGGTTACTTGTGCTGAGTCGGCATAAAGCAGGGCCTAGCGATGATCAATGACAACTCTCTTTTTGGAAAATGCCGAGACTTACACTTTTGACTATAGGCCCCCCGAGACTATGTGCAATAAATATAATCGGACGGTTGGCTGTCTGTGTTGTATCTGTTAGTACCGACTAAAGATATCTTGTTTAGTTGTCAGGTCAGTTGAATCGGTACATTTGTTGATGATCTCATTTCCCACAAGTCATGGACTAGTCGCTCAGATATTTCCTGCTGGGAGTTTTCCGTAGTAGGCAAACTATAACCCCATGAAAGGACTCGAGTGTTGGGCATATCACTTGGCAGCAGATCATGGAGCCAGTTTACCCCATTGGCTGCCGTCCATGAATTTTCGCGGTGGCCACCTAGTCCATGAACAGCAATAATACTGCACCAATCATTAATTATTGAAATGTTGATAGAGATGGGCTAACAAACTCGAATTTTGGAGCTAGCCCTTCATGTAGCAACTTCAAACCTGTCTCCTCGTCTAGTGGAAGTGGAGACTGTAAGCACTTTTAGCATATCGGCAAAACATTCCTCTCATTGTGAGTTCCTACTGTCTTCACGGTCCTTGATTGGCCCTGTTTGAACGGAAAACACCATGGCCACGGCATGGTTCACGACAAATGATGTTCAAGGTGCGGGGTAAATATGGGAGGAAGCTATGTAACTAGCATCCACTTCCCCTATTCCACTTGATTCGTTGAAAATCCGGAGTGACAAGGTGAAGTTAAGATGGGTGGATAGGAAAATCCAACTGTGCTAGTCTATTATTTACTACGAGGCCAAACCCAAAATATAGTAGATCCGCTATCTATTCATCCTGCGACCTCCACCCTGCAAGTCTGCAACTCCCCCTACTGACTACTCTGTATAGATTAGAATTTACAGCACTATTTATTGCACCGAGCCATGATTCCTCGATATATCGTAACAAGAATACTAGTCGCCTGCTTATGCGGCCTTGTGATGTCTTTTCAGTGCTCTTTTCGATGGTCATCTCAAATATTCCATTAGATATCTTTAGAATGTTCTCTCGCCCTTCTTAGTTTTACACGTAGACGCCGGACAGAAAGCGGTAAGAGGCTTAATTTGTAAAAAGGACTTTTCCATGTATAAGCTGGGAATTGTGACACATCTGATGCCATATATGTCTGTGAGTTACAGTTCGGTCTGATATAACAAACCGACATCCCTTAGCCTTTTGTAAGCCCTATTACTTAAAATTAGATTAGATCAATTGACATTTAAAATAGTGTCCATCTCGTCCTGCGGACAAAGGATCCGATTGATAAGTTGGTGCCTAAGGCAAAAGTTAGTGCCCAATTTTTGAGGCGTAAAGCTTAAATTTAATCTATCCGGCGGATCACGTGGCGTTCTTCCAGATGCATCCATGGATACATTCCAAGGTTCTTCATTGCCTCTGTGCCTTATTGGAAAACAACTCAATTTACCTGGCCAATGTATTGGCCACAATGCCTACTGACCCATATCAATGGATCGGCCCTGAGCCTTGGAAGAATATGAAACCAAAGAAATTAATCTTGATTATTCGCCTCCCGGGATTATGGCAAAAGAAAAGAAAATTTTAGTCAATCGCCTCCCATAAAAGTGGAGAGAGACCAAATTCCGGACGATGCAGCCCAATGAGCCTCCCCACTGTGGAGAAAAAAACCGGCGTGGACGGCCGATGTCGTGCTTGGACGCGACTGAATATTTTGGAAGAAAAGAAAGCCGTTTCCCACTAAGCGCTTTGACAACTTCAAAGTCTCCGGGGTATAATCTACGGGGAAGCAATTGGACTGCATGATCGGCGCTACACACGACAATATGGACAAGTCCGGCTTCAACAACGACAAGGTCCAGCCGGCTCCCGGTGCAGATTTTGACGACTACAATGAGAATCCCAAAGGGGAGTTCGAGCTCAATGTCGGTGGTCGTGCGGCCTTGCAGCGACGCCTGCGCAATTACCAGGTTACTATGATTGGTTTCTGCAGTGGTATCGGCACCGGTCTGTTCGTCGGAACTGGCGCTGCCTATGCCAAAGCCGGCCCTGCCGGTTTGCTGCTCGCGTATATTATTGTGGGAGGAGTTTTGTGGTGCGTGATGCAAAGTATCGCCGAACTCGCAACGCTTTTCCCGACTGCTGGATCCTTTCCTCACTGGGCGACTCGATTTATTGACCCGGCCGTCGGGTTTTCCCTCGCTATCTCATACGGATACTGTTACACGATCGCCATCGCCTCGGAAGTCTCGGCAGCCGCGGTTATTGTTTCATATTGGACGGATATCACGCCTGCCGTTGTGATCACTGTTGGATTGGTACTCATTTTGGCTATCAATTTGATGAGTGTGCGATTCTATGGTGAAACTGAAGTCTTTGGAGGTGCCGTCAAGGTTCTTTGCTTCCTTGGCTTGGTTGTTGTCTCCATTGTCATCACTGCAGGCGGTGGTCCCAAGGGCGACGCCATTGGATTCCGCTACTGGAATAACCCTGGGCCATGGACAAACTACAACGGTATCACCGGTCCGACAGGCCACTTCCTTGGCTTCCTGTCGTCGTTTGTCAACGCCTCGTTCAGCTTCATTGGTGTCGAGACTGTCGTCATTACCGCATCCGAGTCGGTCGATCCTCACCGTGCTATTCCCAAGGCCGCCCGCCGTGTGACCTACCGCATTGCCTTCTTCTACGTTCTCGGAGCCCTTCTCATCGGCATGATTGTGGACCCAAGATCCTCAGGCCTTGTTTCTGGCGATGACAACGCGAACAGCTCCCCCTTCGTTATTGCCATCACCAACGCCGGCATCAACGCTCTACCCTCTATCGTGAATGCATGCATTCTCATCGCCGCGTGGTCTGCCGGTAACTCATACTGCTGGGTCGGATCGCGCATGATTGTCGCCATGACCACAGACCACCAGCTGCCCCAGATCTTCGGCCGCGTGAACAAGAGTGGTGTGCCATATGTGGCCGTCCTTACCGCCTGGCTCTTTGGGCCGCTGGCGTACCTGAGTCTCGGCAGTGGTGGTGCATCACAGGCTTTCAGCTGGCTTCTGAACCTGAGCACCGTTGCCGGTTTGATTGCTTGGGCAACCCTTTGCTTCTGTTATATTCGTTTCTTTGCCGCAATGAAGAGACAAAATGTGAGCCGTGACACCCTCCCATGGAAGGCACCCTTTCAACCTTATGCCGCATGGGTGGGCTTTATCGGTTCCACTATCATTACTCTGATTGCTGGTTTCCCCGTCTTTTTGAAGGGCAACTGGAATACGTCCAGCTTTGTTGCGTCGTATATCGGTATCCCTATATTCATCGTTCCCATTATTTGCTGGAAGCTCTGGCATCGCACTAAGGTTCGTTTAATACCTCTTATTCTTTCTATTTTCGCGCAGAGTTGCTAACATGCTGTACAGTTTGAGCGAGCCGCCAACATCGACCTCTGGTCGGGCCGTCTCCTAGATGGGGAGATCATGCCGGTTGAAAACCCGCATAACAACGCGTGGACAAAATTCACCGACTGGCTCTTTTAAACGACTTATGATGTATAAATATTTGCATGCCAAGCCGGCTATTCAACATTAGCGATTGTACAATATCTTCAACATTAGCGATGTACATTATTTCATTTCATTCCATTGCATTTTATTCAATTTAAATTCCAACTTCCATTCGTAAATGGTATTCCGTACTCATAAGGCCTATTGAGTCTTGAACTGCTGTCCAAGTTTCTTGATATCGTGGTGGGAAGCTTTGCAGCACCCTCCCACAAGGAACGACTTGAAATGGCCCTTTTCGTAGGCTTCGTTGACCACTTGCGCCAACTGCTCCTCCCAAGATCGCTAAATTTGACGTCAGCATAATTGTCATCTCCAACATTCCCACCGGAAAGGCTGAACGCCTCTCCATAGTACTCACATTAGCACTCACCTTATCACTCAAGGCATCATCTTTCTCCCAAACCTGCGTCGTAGTATTGTACACCTCCCCATTCGTCCCATCAGGATACAGAACAAAGCTCGGCACAGCAGATACCCATCCCTCGGCGATACCCCCCGCAACAGCACGACCAAACAAATCAATGAGCCCAGCAAGCTTATGCATCTTAGTACAATTGATCCCAATTCCCCAGGGCACAGCCCCATCCTCCATAGGCGCAAAAGCAGCGCGCACAACCTGCTCCACCGAGCTCCCATCAGGCAAGAGATCATCATCGCGCGGGAAAACACAAGCAATCCAAAACGGCACATCGAAAGCAGAATCCCGAATCGCCCTCCTCACTGCGCGAACCTCATCAAGTCGCGGCAAAGTCTCAAACGCAACATACTGCACCCGCGAAACAAGATCCCCATCCGCCTCAGCAAACATCCGCAGCCGATCCAAGTGCCACAAATACAATGACTCCTCGGAATCATGCTCGGCATCGTATGCACCGCTATACTCCTGACCCGGGATCATGCACGCACCGTAAGGGCCCAGGCTGAGAGCGACGCTTGCGCTCTCGCGCACTTTCGCTTGCTCAGCGATGTCCACGGCCTTTTGTAGGAAGGGCCCTACTGCGCTGCGTGGGATCCCGTCTGGGAATTGAGCGGTCTTGGTCCGCGCAAAGCCTTCAGGAGAGACTTGGTAGGTTGCTGTTAGGAGAACGTCTACTCCGGCGACGCCGAAGTCGCGTTGGCATGCTTGCAGCGTTGCTGGGTCGCTCACTAGCAGGTGTGAGGCCCAGAGTGGGGTTGTTGTGGAATCGAATTTGATGTTGTATATATCCCCCAGGGAGGTGCCAAGGCCTCCATCTAGGATCTGGACTGTTGCCATTATGGGTATTTGAGGATTTAGGTGGTTTATGGAGGGTAGGTGGGGGTTTTGCTGTTTGATACAGTCCCAAATGGGGCGATTCGCTCGGGGTTACATAATCGCTCTCTCGTTTTTGCACAGGTGGGCCGGCCTCGGAGGTATAAAAAGTCAAATTGAGAAAAGATGAGAAGTGGAGATTAGACAGAAATTGACTGTATACTTGGATACTGGGAAGTTGTGTCTCGCTCATGGCGTAGAAGATTTTCTGAGATACTCGTGGACTAAATCAGTAGCCCATCAATCTATACAACGTAGGTCAGTCTCTTCTTGAAGAACTTAATCTCCAACTCAGGAATACCACCTTTTTTATTCCTCAAAGTATACATTTTATCCACGGGAAGATCTTATAGATACTATATAAGCATCTGGACATAATAGGCCTGGAATAGGCTGGCAACATGAAACTATATATATATACAAACAATGTACCACTGACTCTCCTTTACACATGTGCCCACCCATATCGATGCAGAATTTGCATCTCATTGATAATGCAAACTTCCCCATACTCTTCGTTCCTAGCGCTCAAGGCTCTCCATCTATCTACCCGCATTCGAACAACTTTTTCTTTCAACCATGAAGTGATACCCAAGCGGCGCAGTCGATTGACCCACAGCCCCTGTAGAATCCGCCCCGTAGTGAGCCAATTCATCATCGGATGAATAGCTGTATATGCGGCACCGCTATACCCAACCCTTACTAAAGGGTTCAAATAAACTCCCTTTTCTACTGATAGTGGGTTGTCTGTATGGATGAGACAGCACTCGGAGGCTTCAAGATGATAGATCGCTAGTGAATCGGGGATTCCTCGGAAGCGAAGTGGGGATCTGGCGATGAATGGACTTGCAGGCATCGCCACTAGAGATATGTTAGTTTATGCAACGATTTCTTGAATGGAGGTCACCATACCCATTCCATTCCAACAACTTGCCACAGGAACAGGAGACATATTTTTCATTCCATGTCGCGATGCCGCAGAACTGAAATAGGGCCATTTCTGCATGATGGGTTCATGGCCATTGCTATCCCGGAGAGCAAATGTATCATAGAAACTCGGAGGCTTGGAGAAATCCAACGAGCAAGCAGCACCATATTCGCCGTCATTAGTGTCCAGAAGTCGGAGAACGTCGTTCGGCTGATCGACAAAAGCTTAATCAGTATACGCATTCGATAGAAGGTATGATGGTTAAAACGAACCGTGAACACAACGTCATTCAGAAACAGAATTTTATCAAAAGTGATACCCTGCCGTGCAAGATCCTGCAGAGGCAGCAAGCTCAAATTCCGTATACGCGCTAGATAGGGAATTCTTCTGAGTTGTTTCTTCCCATCAGGAGTGCGAATCCAACCCTCGCCCATTGCGGGTGCGGCAAGTTCATCTTCATGTGTCACAGGTGACAAAGTGATATTCCGTGGCACCCGCATTCGCTCGAGTTCCCAATCCAGTTCTCTCAACGCGCCTTTCGTGTTATCATAGCTCCCGCTTTCGTAGATGCTGATGAACACATTTTCAGGACCAAGCTTCAAGACCAGCTGCGTGAGTGCCTTGTTCCAGTGACTGCGTAGAACTAGTTCATTGTTCCAATTGATGCTTGCAATATATATTCGTTCTTGTTTTTGCGGCCGGCGTCGGAGAACTGTATAATCTGCTTCGTAAATTCGGTGATGAATCAGGTGTATTTCGGCCAGATTCCATATTGTGAAAATTATGATCAGAGCTCGGGCGATGCGGTACCGGAGGACTCGTCGGGAGGCGGACAAAAGCGTCATGGAAAGTGAGCGAGTTGAGAGTTTGGTGTCAATGTCGGGGTCGGTTGCGATGTACGCGATATAATGTTCCTGACATACTGGACTGGAGTTGTGGAAGAAACCCTTGATAGAGGATATTGGGAATTGCTAGGAGAGAAAGCTGGGCAATCAAGGGATACTGCAGAATCAACAGAATGTATACTTTCTTCCCAATACAGAAATATTCATGATGATCATCGACAGAAGGACTAAAAACGTTATTTGCCGATCGGCCATCATTAAATTGCGATAGCCATATTCGAATCTATGGTCGCACGTGGAAGTATGGAAATGGTTATGGTTGTTTCAATATTAATTTCGAGCACAAAAGACAATAACAAAAAGTAATATACAAAGGATGAAACTCCACGATATCTAGATCTAGGAACAGGTCTCACCCCAGGAAATGCAAAATAGCCGTCGTGGCAATCGCAAGGCCAGCTACTCTCTTGAAGCCCGAATGACACCGATTACCCGCTCCCGTCCCAGTCGCATCGGGAGTCGATACTGTCGTAGCTCCACCCTCAACCCACGGCTGCCCAGGCAGCGAATCCGAGCTCTCGCCGATCTCCGCCGCGCTAAGAAGCTTATTTTCCAGCAGATCGCAGTCGATCCGGTCGTCACTATCGGGTATACTGTTGGTGACAGAGATCGGCAGGTCGAAGACAGTATAATAGTCGGTTCCATTCCAACGGAAAGATTGGTGCATGGAGATGTTGTAGGCTCCGCGCGCCGAGTCTTCTGAGTCAGAGCCATCTCCCACGAGACATTCGGGCCAAATCCAGTTCACATGTTTAACGGTGGATGAGGGCTCTAGGTCCAAGACAGGACCGACGTAGCTTGTGTTAGATGCGGGCTTTGTGCCGTTGGAGATGGTGAAGTTGTGCGACTCGGAGGTTAAGAAGAGTGTGATGTCGTGGAACAGAGTGGATGAGTCGGGCTCGGTTGATGCCGGCCATGGTAATTGGCCATTACCGGACACGTCAATTGCGACTTGCAGGTTGTCTAAGAAATTAGTAAGGAGTCGATATATTTTGGCGTATTGACTTGCCTCCTCCGAGGGGCGTGTTAGGCTGTGGCGCATCAACAATTGCCAGGCCTGGCGTGTAGATTTGGCCATTGACGATAGTGAAGTTGACCATATTTTCCAAGTTTACAGATTTAATCTGAATCAATGTTCTTTCATTCACAAAAACATAAGCTGCGCTGTCATGTCCTTTTTATTCTATTTGCGCCAAGGGGGTCATTTCCGACAACTCCGCCATTATCCTTAGCGTATTGCGATTAATTTTATTTCTTCAGGTCATTGGCCTGGCTATGATCCTTAAGCCCTCATTTAGTCCTAGGGTCCTGATTTTCTAAACAATATTAATTAATGACAGCCAACAGGGGTACATGTATACATGGCATATTTGACCTCTTCAACCCTTTATTTGTTAGGACATAATCATACATATATCTTCCCAAATGCCCATAGTAGACAATGCGATCGAGCTATACTTCATGTACGGAGTATTTCGTAGCTTTATAGACAACGTTATTGATTCTATCCATTTTATAACACACCCCCAAGCCATCCGTTCTTTGGTTCTCTGTTCCTCTCCACTTTACCCGAATCCCCGTCGATCATCGACATTTTTCAACCTCATGTGTACTCTGTAATTTCGAATTACACCCTTCGTAGACAGAAACTACTATTGATATCGATCTTTCTTTGGCGGTAGAAGCACCAGAAAATAATTGAGGATGCTATCATTCGTTTTTCACAGATATTTCTATTTTGTGGGGATCATTGGAAAGAATGCCTACATCAGCACCCGACCTGGCTGGCCCTTGTGTCTTGCACGGCCACGGCAAGCATCTTTTCCATGTTCCTAAGGAGGCCTTTCATTCAGTCCTTCGCACTCGCAAGACGTTGCTGTCTCCGCAAGTTGTATTCTGCTGCTGCGATTATCTGTCGCAGATGTTGGACGTCTTGTTGGTCCTTTGCGATTTTCTCCTTCAGATCGAGAAGCGCGCGTTTGCTGCCTGGAGTTATTGCCTTAACGTTCTCTCGTGGCGATGCGCCTGTTATGGGTGCGATGCATAAATTACAGAAACTGTAGGGTCAATCTCAATATCAGCCCCTCCCCTCCCCACATAAATTAGTCAATGTTAGGTACCTACGATAGTTGACAAACTTTAAATCGGCTAGGCGAATTGGCAGTTTCGCAGATATGGCTAGGATACGCTGGATTCAAGTTCAGATGTTACTCCATTCCTTGGCTGATCCCATCATGATGTACAGGGAAAGAAGTTCAATAGAGAAAGGGGACATAATAAAGAGGTATCGGGCGTGAAACATATTAGACGCAATCAAAGAGAAAGTAGCGAAAAGGCCTTTTCGGGAAATAGATATGGAACAACAACCGGTGTGGTCACCACAAAGAAACACATCGCAACAAATAACAAAGAGGAGAGATATCACCTCTTGTCACCCCAAAGACCAACAATGCCAATCGAAAGCGCAATACCAGACAACCAGGTGCGCGCTCGGTGGAGCCGGCGCTCCCGGTCCATCTCGCGTTGAACGGTTTCGCCGTTCACATCGTCCTGGGACTCAACAACGACAAGATCTTCATCCTTATTTGTGTTCGAGTCCCGGACCAGGGAAAAGTGGGAAACGTCGCGGATCACAGCCGATACCCAGTTCTTGAAGCCGAGATGACGGTTGAACCAGAAATCAACACCGTGGGCACTGATTGTAGAGAATGCGCACAGCCAAACCATGTATGGGTGTCGGCGGCGCGGAGATGAGAGGCACCATGCAAAACAGAAGCAGGTATTGGCCAGGAAGGATAGGCGTAGGGCATATCGGCGGGTTAGGCGTTTCACTTCATTCAGGGAGCGGGCGGCAGTTGTCGCTGTTGGAAGGAGCTGCAGAGCTGGGATAGTGATGGTCGATGTCGAGTAGGAGAGGCCCTGTGAATTGAAAGGGGTTGTTAGCATTGGCCGATCATACTTGATAATGCGATAGATGCGATTGACGTACAGTAAGAAGACCGAGAGAGACAGTGCCAACAAACTTGCTGACGCTGATGGGGCAAGCCATGTTGCAGATTGCAAAGACAATCGCTTTTCCTTAAAGCTGTATTTGATGAGGTAGCAAAATTAGAAATGAGTCGAAGATTCACGATTCACGTCAACAATTCAAAGAAACGAGATGGTTCTTTTTCGGTGACGTCGCGGGCCGGCTACGTGCCAGCCAATCAGCGGGCGGATGTTCTTCAATCGCAACGAGAAGAGGAATATTGTTATTTCTACAGTAAAATGAGTTTGTATATATTTGTAGATATAAGCCTTGTGCAGGGTATATTTTATTTGATGTTAGGTTCTATCTATTTAGCCCTATATAGCACATAAACTGACCTCTATACATAGTACATGCCACTCAAGCTCTCATAACAAGTTACAAATAAATTATCGCTAATACTATCATCTCATTATTAACAAAACGGAGGACTCGGTTATTGTGCATGGCTCCTTAAACTGGAGTGTGCCTGTCAAGGCAGTTCTGAGGGACATCTTAACCATCTTGATATTGACCAGTCCAAAGTAATGCTGATATCCCGAGTATGGGCGACTAAGTGTGCCACCTGGACACAACTCTTTCATTGGATTATATTGCCAGGCAGTAATTTAGTCGTTCACTCTTACTTTCTAGGAGTAAATAAAGTCTCCAGTCAAAATTCTATTGACTTGTTCACGATATGTAAACTCTAAGTGTATTTAATATTAATGGATACTTCATAATTATATCCTCTATAATATGATTGATACTTTATAAATGTATACTCTTTGGTAATACCATACTATAAACTAGTTTTATTTCTTTTTTTAGAAAGAAATCACAAAAGTGTAGTAGTGAAGACCAGCCAAAAGACCAGATAAGAAGTAGTATTATTTAAGCCTACATCATACCGCTCAAACAAAGTGTTGACTGTTTCAGCTTTGAAATATTTCCTTAAGAAGTTTATAGGGCTTTGTTTTCGGATCACTAATCACTAATGTATTACCTAGGTAAGCATCTAAATTTTGAATGCATAAATAGCATAAAACTGTGCAGCCGAGGTCCGACTGTGGGGGAGAGGGCCCACGGGTATCATGAACCACCTCCTTTAACATCCCCCAACTCCCCCACAATCTTTAAAACAAGCTTGGAATATATCCAGGAACACAGTAATCAAAATGCCGCTGCCCAAGACAGAATATTTGAGTGACTCCTGGAAGGATGGGATCTTCGGTGAGCTCTCTTCGAGTCCATTGTCACCGCACAGCCAAACTAACTCTTGGACCCAGCAAACAAAGTGGTATTCTGCACAGGAGGCGCTGGAACTATCTGCAGTGCCCAGGTCCGGGCCTTGGTACATCTCGGTGCCAACGCCTGCATTATCGGCCGGAATGTAGAGAAGACCGAGCGCGTCGCCCAGGACATCGCAACGGCCCGACCAGGTGCTAAAGTGATCGGAATTGGTTCCGTGGACGTGCGCAAACTCGAGTATTTGCAGCAAGCAGTTGAACGCTGTGTCAAAGAGCTTGGAGGCATTGATTTTGTCATGTACGTCGATATATCAACTTGACCTGGGTCTTCGAGTTTTGTGCTGATCGTATCCGACAGTGCCGGAGCAGCAGGTAACTTCCTCGCCTCGATCGAGCAACTCTCTGTCAATGCTTTCAAGTCAGTTATGGATATTGACGTCTTGGGCTCTTACAATACGCTCAAGGCAACTCTTCCGTACCTGAGAGAGTCAGCAAGCAAGCACAGAATGGACTCAAAGACTCGTGAGTGCACCAATTGGTGAATCTGACCCTCTGACTATCATTGGCACTGACAATCCTCCAGTTCAACCATTACCAATTGGAACCGGCGGAAGAATTATCTTCGTCAGTGCCACCATCCACTACCGGGGTATGCCCTTCCAGACCCATGTATCCGTCGCCAAAGCCGGTATCGATGCCTTGTCGCACAGTGTCGCGATCGAGTATGGTCCTCGTGGGTTGACTTCCAACATCATCGCGCCAGGTCCTATTGCACAGACTGAGGTTAGTAGAAGTCTCAATAGTGCTATTCCCATGTCAAAAACCGATCAACTTACCATTCATTAGGGCTTGGAACGTCTGCTGCCATCAGATGCCCTGGAGGCTTACACCAAGGCGCAGCCGCTTGGCCGCTTCGGCCATGTCCGCGACATTGCCGACGCCACCGTATATCTCTTCTCAGACACTGGAAGCTATGTCAGTGGTCAAACGCTTGTTGGTGAGTTATCTGATAACAAAAAGCATCATGAAGGTTTCATACTGACTCACAAACAGTGGATGGTGCAAACTGGCGCATGTCGGCAGGCGGCGCTTCCGGCGGCAGTCTGTCTTACCCGGACTTCCTGCTTTCGGGGGATGATGTACCCAACGTGACTGGCAAGAAGTCTAAGCTTTGAATAGATAGGAATGTACGAGATATTGATAATACACTAGGGCTTTTTGGACCGTCGGATTTTGGATACACTTTGCTAAGTATCTCTAAGCTGGATCTGGCAGATAGAGATTGCGTTCATTTATTATATTTCTCATGTTAAAACTCTCGGCAAAATCTACTGGGCTGACCATGGTGTTACGCCCGGCTCGCATTCTGTGTCGTATCATCTCTCATTTCCTGTCGCACAATGTTGAAGCTCCCAAGGTTCCAGACACCCCTTGTTTGTCATTCGCTGCCAAACAGGATCGGTTTTCGAAGTAGTGGAACCCATAGAGTCGAATCGACTTGAAGGTTACTCCCTGAGGCACATTTGCTGTAAGAAGCTGGTGATGTTTTGAGGCATCCTCGAGATCTTGATAGGGAATCTACAACAAACATAATGTCAGTCTCTTTTGGTTAGCGAATATTTCGAGTGATTTTAGCAAAAGGGAACACATACCTTGTCCCCACAATCCACCACAATAGCGGTAAAAGCACCGAATGTAGCTGTTTGACTGTCTCTGCAAGATCAATGATATGATTGCAAAACTCCCACCTCACGACCGTAAGCCCGCTTGGCTTCCAGACTCTCATTTGTGTCAACTGCTGGGTGAACCTTTTTGAACAGCTGCAAAGTGTCCATCAATTGGTCCAAACTCGATCTTGGGTCATTTCTCTTCGCGAAGTTGCTCCCAAACTCGAATGACAAAGCCATTGTGTGATTGTTCGCAATATAGACTGGGTCTAGTAGTTGCGTCGCGTTGACAGGATATAGATTGGCACCGACAGATTGTTGGGTTGGTTGCTGGATGGGCTTGCCAGGTGGATTGCTTGTAACGGAATCGGCCCGTCCCGTGTTCTTGTTCGGGGTCCTTGTGGGACTGAGAGGCTACCCTCACAAGCGTCCCTTGGGAATACATCTATCTTCGTGTCAACAATGATACCAGTGTAGGATGGTTCAAAACTCAACATCTTCGTATCGTAGAGGAGTAGAGAAACTACTAAAGCTTGCACATCGATGCTCGACATTGAGTCCCCACTCCAGAGGGAGGAAACACAGCGACAAGACCGCTCTTTCGACCAAGAGCCATGGTGACAGTACCCTCAGCACGACTGTACTTTAGATCACAGTAGATCTAGTGACATGAAATTGCCAAGATTTGCATTGACCTTTGGAAGAACATACTCGGCAAGCCGAGTGCACAGGCCTTCGGAAAGCCGACATTCTACAACCACATGCCCAGATCTAAACCTTAGAAGCCTACATGCATGAGAGTAATTTTAGGCAAAATAGCACGAAATGGTTGAATAGACATATTGAAAGCTTCATGTAGACTGTATTGAAAGAGACATCCCATTCCCAGAAAAAGGGCATTCAAGGGACCAAGGAGACCTCCCATTGTTCTCTTCATTGAAGATTTCATAATAGTCATTGTTGAAGAAAGGTCTTGTCAATTTCAATAAACAATGAGGGAGCCCGTTTATTGGTGTAGGGTTGTGAGACCAACCTTGGAAGTTATTGAGAAAGGTCATCGACCAATAGGCCCCCAGAACCTCACCATCGTTTGTCGAGGCCTATATCTTCTCCCCTTCCCTCTCAACTTCTCTTTCTTTCTTCTCCCCTCCTCTCTCTTCCCCATCGTCGTCAGTTTTATTCTTTTGCTTCTTCTGTTTCTTCTACAAAGCCAAAGGAGTTTGCGAATTCTTCTTGTCTCTGGTTAGTCCCAACAACCCTTCCAAGTAACCTGTCTACTTTTTCTGACACCTTGTCGCATAGCTGTATCTCCAGTCTCTGGATAGCCCTGAGAAGAGCTGTTCTCGCACGTTTATCGACGCGTGCACCTTGTTTTATTTCTGTGTTAGTCTTTCCAAGCCTTTTCTTCTTTTCCCTCGCATGGTCTCTAACCACTTCCAACGTAGCAGCCATTGACAGTTTCTCTGGAGTTTCTGAACGACTCACATACCGTGTCACCTTTTCCTTTTGTGAGTTCATTTGCTTCTGCAAGCAACCTCATTGAGTAGTGTCTCTAACGTCTTTCAAAGTTCATTATGGCAACTCACCAAGGGCCTTCCCGTCGTAACGGTGTCATTGGGTTCAATATGACGGGTCCCCCAGCCCCCGCCACCCCGATGATCGCCCCGCGCCGTAATGGACCCATTGGGTTCCAGATGGTGCCTGGTCCTGCTTCTAATGCCACTCCTTCTCTCAACAACCAGGGTCCTCCGCACAGGATCACCCCCCTGGTGGGCCCCGACACAGCCCATTATTCCTCTTTCGAACAGACGACTGTCCAACCAAGCCAGTCGCAGCCTGAGATCTCCGCGCTTGGTGCTCAACTGAAGGATGCCGAAGCGACAATCTCTCGGCATGAAATGGAGCTGGGCCGTGCCAAGTCCCAGCTTTCGGCCCTCCAATCTCAGACAGCCACACAGCGACGCACCACCTGCTTTGTTGACCAACAGCAAATGGATGCCTTGATCAACCAATCTCGCAACAGCCGATCCCGCGACGTCGATTCCCAGCTCCGGGTCCTTGAAAATCGATTGGACGAAGCCGCGGAAGAGCTTGAACGCGCGGAGGGTAACATCAAGTCCCTCCAGGCTTGCAAACAAAGTCTGGCAAAAGACCAGACAGACCTCCAGGAGCTGCGGCAACTACTCGCAGCAACTGAACACAACATGCGGCGCCAAGAGCGCGTTGTGGGTGCGGAGAGCCGATTCAAAGGCCTCCTGAAGACCATGGAAAGGATGCTTGCCTCGTCGATGCAAAATGCCAGGGCCAGTCAGGTCCAGACTCGCAGTGCGCCGATTGCTGAGTCTAAGACCAACCCTGTGGGTATTGCACATCGCACTGTCATGGGAAGCCAGCAACTAGGCTCCCAGGGGCATGCATTTGACCATCACCCACGGCAACTCGACAAGGGAAAAGAACGTGGCCCGAGATCCCTCCCTCCCGAGGAACGTGAATGTGATAAGGACATGATCTCCGATTCTGATGAGTCCGATTTATCCTCGATATCCCCATCGGACAGTCTCAGCAATGTGATGGCACTGGATAGTCGCAATTCATCACGGGATGGGTCACCCATGAGTATCACCCTTGACCCCACGGAACAGGTAATTGCCGCCCGCATGTTGCAGGCAGATGAGTCGCAGATGGGCGACCAAATGGTGCAAGGAGCACCAGTTACCACCCTTACCACAGCTCCCCAGCAAGTGGAGACTTACGACATGATGCAAAATAAGAACCAGTTGGCTTACTTCGAACACGCAAAACTGAACGGTCAGGACTTTGACGGCTACATGGAGTGGGAGCATACGGATGCGCAGACCATCAGGGAGCATACGCATGTGCAGACCATCAGACGTTACAAGAGACTAGATCCCTCGATCACATTTGCTCGACGAAAGCATCGCAGCATCTTCAAGGGCAAGGTGGCTGCCGCCTGGGCAAGCACCACACATGCGCGCGGCCGCGACCCCAGAATTAAGCGGCACCGTCTTACCGGGGTAGATCGGCGTCAACTTACCAATGGTAACCCGCCTTGTTATACCGAGAGTCCTCGGCCTCGTCTTACCGAGAGTCGGCGACGTATTACCGAGAGACGACGACGTCTTGCCGAGGATCGACGACGTCTCCTTATCAGGAGTAATCGGCTTAGCGTGCGCCTGACACAGACGAATATCGTCAATCTCCCTGTGCGAAAAAGGTTAGCCGGCCTCGTCAAGTTCGGCGAGGACGAAGAACCAAGCCCCAAGAAGCAGATTACAAAGGAGATCGTGGAAGCCAACGGTTCACTTTCACTTCCCATTTCTGAGGTATACGTGATGAACACAGCCCCGAAAGTGCCAGAAATGAGTGTGTCAGCTGTTTCGCAGCCAGCTCAATCTGTGCATGTTTCGACAGAGGAGGTGCCCACCCAGACAGTCATGAGCGAGCCAGCTGTTTCGCAGCCTACTCAGACTGTGCTGGAGTACACCGAGACTGTCTCGACCGAGCAGGTGCCCACCGCAGCAGCCATGAGTGCGCTAGCTGTTCCCCAGCCGACTCAAGTCTTCGTGGAGGCCACCGAGCAGGTTCCTATCGATGAAGGTTTGAGTGAGCCCGCGGTTTCCCAGCCGACTCAAGCTGATTCGCAGGAAAACGAGACTGTCGAGATCATGCAGGTGCCCACTGAGGCAGTGACGAGTGAGCCAGCTGTTCCCGAGCCGTCTCAAACTGCCTTGGAGGCCACTTTGCACGAGTCCAGTGTACTTGAGTACACTATGCTCGCGTCCACTGTGTCCATCCCGTCTGATGAAGTTGTTGATGCGCCTGCTCCTAGTGAGCCAGCTCCAACTGAGTCAGCCCAGACTGAGCCATCGTCAACTGAGAAAATTCTGAGTGCGCCTGCTGTTATTGAGCCGACTCTGAATGAATCAGATCTGACTTGGCAGACCGAAGGCGAGCTTGTTGTTCCGGGCCTGCGCACAGGTACTCGTTCGCGCCTCAATGTAGTGCTTGCGAGACGCGCGGCAGGGACTCGAGCTCGTCCTACCATCATGTCTTCTTCTGGGGTATTGCAGGTCACAGCAGCCCCTCGCGTTATCTCCACCTCTTCCCTGGTGGCCAGTCCCGAAGACGCCTCGGCAAATAATGCCGTTGCAACAGGGACAGATTCCCGTGCGGGGGTTTCGAAAGGCACCAAGAGGGTCGAGGACGCCGAAAACCCGACTCGCAGCGCTCGCCAGTCTGCAGGAGAACAGCGGGAGGAAATGTGCGGAAAAGAGGCAGCGACTTCTGGTCTCCAAATGCCAGGAGCTTGGCCTTCCGACCTACCCGCCGTCACTGCGTCTGGCGAGTCAGACATGCAGGAGGGATCGGCTTTGCTGAGGGGGTTGTGGACAGGAGCTGGTCGGCTCTCCTTTGGTGTATTCGCTATGGTGATGGTGATTCTGCTGTCGTTCCCTCTGTGGGCAGGTCACCTTGGACACCTGGTTTACGCCCTGGAGGGTCCCGAACAGTTCCTGGAGGAACTGCGCTGGGAGCATGGATATGATGTTCCATTCATGGAGCGGATTATCTTTGTCTTCCTCCGTTGTTTTGCCGGAGATCGGACTTTGTTCGGTTAACGGCAAGTGGTACGGTGCGCACCCCATCAAGGGGAGGGACGAATGAGCCACCTCTTGATGGATAATATGATATTACAACGGCAAGGCAGGAAGCTGGCAAGTCCGACGATTGCCGCTTCAACTGCAGAAGTACAACGACAGCGGCTCAAGGGGAGGGACGAATGGGCCACCTCTCGAGTCCGCAACAACGACAACGCAGCGAGCTGGCAAGTCCGACGATTGCCGCTTCACCTGCACAGTTACAGCGACAAGTGTCTGTTACCGAAGACACTGAAACAAGAACCTATTGTTTGAGTGGTCTTGTTTCCCTCACCCGGGAGGGTGATGGATGATTATCATTGTCGACGCCCATGGCATTTTGTCGGGGTACCTGTTCTGAGTTGTGTTCGATTTTCTTGTTCGCGCATCCTTCGGGGTGGTGTATCATTATTTGTGTCGGTTGTCGGAAGACAACATGTACGATTTGTTTGTTGTTCACCCTTCGGGGTTATGTACGATTTTTTGTCGGCCGTCGAAAGACATCTTGTTCGAGTACTGTTCCGACGCCATGTCCGAGTCCGTGTTGGCTCCGTGTTTGAGTTCCACGTCAATTCGATGTTTGATTTCATGTCCGAACATATCCGACTGCGATGTCCGAGCCCTGGAGTATATTATATTCGGGTATATTTTGTTTTCCTACACCAGGAAACTGGGTAGAAGACGTGCATATCGCACGTAAGATCAATTTATGATCCCACGATTTATACCACGATCATGATATACAACCCCGCCTGCGTGTTCGGCAGGCTGACCATGCCACTTTACGAAAACACGCCAGCTCCTGGGGGTGGAGAGCATTATATGATCTCCCAGGAGCTGGCAAGATGGTAAAAACAACACCATCTGCATGGTCGGCCTGCTGAACACGAGGCGGGAACAAACCCCAGCCCCTGGGAGATGCGAACATTATATCATCTCCTAGGGGCTGGTAATCGCCTGCGTGTTCAGCGGGCTGACCATCCCACCTTCAGCAACAGCCAGCTCCTGGGAGCGGAGAGTATTATACAATCTCTCAGGAGCTGGCAAGATGGTACAAACAACGCCATCTGGATGGTCGGCCTGCTGAACAGAACAGCAGCCCCCCTGGGAGATGGGCCTTTTACATCATCTCCTAGGGGCTGGCAATACGGCAAGAGGCTACCAACTGTGTGTTCACAAGTTGACCATGTCATTTTCAGCAACACCTAGCTCCTGGGAGATCATAATGGTCCCCCGCTCCCAGAAGCTGGCAAGTTGCTGGAAACTGGCAGGTCAGCCTGCTGAACACGCAGGTGGGAGTCTCTTGTCATGTTGCCAGCCCCTAGGAGATGACGTGAAAGGTCCATCTCCTGGGAGTTAGCTGTTGTTCCCAAGGCGTGCTCAGCAAGGTGGCCACACCACCTTCAACATCAGCCAGCTCCTGGGAGCGGGGGACCATTTCATGATCTCCCAGGAGCTGGCTGTACGGTCAGCCTGCTGAGCACGCCAATTCGCTAACAACACGCCAGCCCCTAGGAGATGGGAGCATTGTATCATCTCCTAGGAGCTGGTAACATGGCATAAAACTTGCCACTTGCGTGTTCAGCAGGCTGACCTGCCATCTCCAGCAACAGCCAGCTCCTGGGAGAGGAGGACCATTATGATCTCCCAGGGGCTGGCAGCATGGTCAGCCTGCTGAGCACGCCACGCCAATACCACACCGGCTCCTGGGAGCGGGGGACCATTATATGATCTCCCAGGGGCCGGCAGCATGGTCAGCCTGCTGAACACACCTCATCAAAAACACGCCAGCTCCTGGGAGCGGGGGACCTTGATATGATTTCCCGGGGCTGGCTGTATGGCACAAATAATGCCAAATGCCACCTGCATGTTTGGTAGGCTGACCATGCCACTTTCTAACAGCAGGCCAGCTCCTGGGAGTGGGGGACCTTGATATGATCTCCCAGGAGCGGGCTGTATCCTCAGCCGGCTGAACACGCCAACCCCTAGGAGCGGGGACCATTATATGATCTCCTAGGGGTTGGCAACATGGCACAAAACTTGCCCCCCGCGTGTTCAGCCCGCTGACCTGCGTCTCCAGCAACAGCCAGTTTCTAGGAGATGGGGACCACTATATCTCCTACAATATAGGAGCTGGCAAGCGCCTGCACGGTCAGCCTGCTGAACACGCCAGTTCGCCGACGACGAGCCAGCCCCTGGGAGCGGGGGACCATCATTTGATCTCCCAGGAGCTGGCAACATGGCACAAACATAACAATACTACCTGCGTGCTCAGCAGGGACCGTGCCAATTCAGCAATCTCCTGCTCCTAGGATCAGGGAGCATTTTATGATCTCCTAGAAGCTGGAAAACTAAATATACGCCTGGCAGCTGGAAGCGATGTATGGAACTAAATTATACTGCCATGTGCAGCCATCGGCGGAATCTCGACAGCATGCTCAAATGGGATTGGAGTCCTTGCCATTTTCATATTTACAAAAGCTCATGGCAACGATACACCACAGTATGGGTTTAGAATCTTTCGTGGATCCGAATACGAACCGACCTTTCAAGCCCGGGAGATGCCGCCTACACAGTCAGCAGGCTGACTGTTCACTATCCACCAATGAGAGCATGAGCCACGCAGGCGCTGGCGTCACCCACTCCACTTCCCGCTGAAAGAAGATCACTTATCTCCATATCATACCCCCTCGAGATATTGTTCATCACATCGTTATTGAGCCTACTCCTACTTCAACGAGAGAAGCGTCGACTTCCTTTTGACTTGCATTTTGCTTCGAGCTTCGTTTCCTTCCGTCACCATGTTTGTGCGATCCGTCTTGCTAGGTGGCGCCGCTGTTCTTGGCGCCAGCGCCATGCTGGTTGTCCCCGAGATGGAACCTAAAGTCGATATGATTGAGGATGGATTTGTGAATGTTCACCCTATGCTTATGCAGGACGTTCATCATGCGATTGTTGACCTACCCTGCTCTGAATGTCCTCTCCGTGAAACCAACGATGAAGGTGTTGTTAGCTGGACGGAGGGCAAACCATCCTCTCTGGTAAGGATAACGGAATCCGATTATTTATGCGCACTGGCTAACAAACCTCTATAGACTCTGGATTTCTCGATCGAAGATAACCGCCTACTGGCCAACGGCCGTCAAATATTCCCACCGGCCCCGCCCATTCCAATTCTTGCTGTGCAACAAAATGAAGAGGGAAAGGACTCCAATCCAATGCCTGTTGGATATGCGCTTGAAATCATGCCGATAGCCGCACCATCTGACGAGCCAGGCTACGAACTGTTGGATATTCGATTCACTGTTCTCGACTTGGAGACCCACCCAGTCCCTGTTGACACCGTTGCGATCACCGTTCTGCAGGATCCCAACGGCGAGCTCTTCATCGCCCGGACTGAAATCGAAAACACCACCCCGGCCTCCGACCGCTTATCTTGGAAGGAGTGCCATGGCAAGGCCAAATGCCTGCAAGAACTTCTGGTCTCTCGCATTCGGGGCCTCTTGGCTGGCGCCAAGGCTCGTGTTATGGGCATGGCCAAAGCCGGCCGCAAGAGCTGCCATGACAAATTCAAGGGCAAGACAATGGGCCACCACGAAGAAGGCCATGGCGGTATGTCTTTCCCTCCCCCGCCTCCTTTCGGGAAAGAGGGCTCTGGGCGTGAAATGTTTGGGCCCGGTGGCCACCATGCCCATTCCCACGGCTCCGCTCATCCCCACAAGCACCACCCACACCACGGCACTTTCGCTCGCGCTTTCTCTCGCATTGTGCACTTTATCGTTGTCCCAGCCGTTCTAGGTGTCCTAGCTGGGTTGACTGCCAGTGCTATTGGCATGCTGGTCGGCCAGGCTGTAGTTTTCCTCTGGAAACGCTACCGCGGTATCACTTCTACGGAGCATAAGGCCGCTTGGGAGGATGGCGAGGCCTGCGAAAAGCAGGGCCTCATGACTATCCCTCGTTCCTCTGAGGAGGTCCTTCCTGAATACACTGAGCCCTCTGAGGCCCGAGGATCGCTCGACAAGAACTAGAAGAAAAACGAAAGAAAAGAAAAGAAAAACATCAAGAAAAAAGAAGAAAAAAGAAAAAAAAAAGTACATATTGATATTGTCTTCCAACCGAAGCCCTCTGTCTTTTGTTTGAGGGCCATTATCAGGCAGTCTTCACGGTGCTCATTTTCATATTTTGAGAATTCCTCAGCTGGGCTTTACTTCCTACGGACAGTGCTCACACGGATACACAGAGCTCTCCAGGGCCCGGGGATCACTCAACAAAAACAATACAAAAACACAAATACAAATACAAAATGCACCCCTTCAATTTATCTTTCGACCAAGGGCCCTCACCAGCCACCTGGTTTGGCCATTCAATATATTTCCCTCTGATGATGCACCGGAAAACAACAATCTCTCTGGCGCCAACGGTGGATTGACAAGAACAATACCAAAGAAAAAAGAAAAAAGAAAAAAAGGGTATGCTGTCTTCAACCAAGGGCTGTCATTAAGTAAACTGGGCTGTCCACATCAATCCCTATGAACTCGCCAGCCTCTCAAGCCCTAGAGGACCACTGAAAGGAATAAGACAGGAATCTTGGAAGAACATGACACCAACAAGACCAAGCACCAACAAGACCAAGCACCAACAAGACCAAGCACCAACAAGACCAAGCACCAACAAGACCAAGCACCAACAAGACCAAGCACCAACAAGACCAAGCACCAACAAGACCAAGCACCAACAAGACCAAGCACCAACAAGACCAAGCACAAAAATAAAACAAGCTCAAGAAAGAAAAATGACTTCCGCTACATTTGATCAACGGCCATTGCCAGCTAGACTGGGCTTTCCACTCATTTTCCAGACCAATGGGCCAGCAAATACCGCCCTCCGACAACTCAAGGGTCATCGACAAGAACAAAACAAGAAATCAAAACAAAAGAAATTGCTCCGCTGTCGTTTAACCCAGTGTATGACCATCATCATCTATACTAGGCTCTATTTACTTTCCACAGCCAATCTATATGATTGCAATTAGCCCTTTGAAGCTTGAGGCCACTTGACAAAAACAAAAATAAACAAAAAAAATACTAAAACGTTCTGCTATCGTTCACCTCATGTCGGCCTAAATTGGACTTCCCACTTTGTCCACGGCAAAATCCACGCATGCAACGCTGAATCTTCGGGTCACTTGACAACCCATCACCAACCACACTGGGCTCTCAATTTCTTTTCCACGGCCAAATCAACATGACTGAATTAGCTCTACCAAACTTGAGGTCACTCGACGAGGACAACAACAAAAAAAAAAAAAGAGTTCAACTGTCGTTTGGCCTATGGTCATCACCAGTCACACTGGACTTTCCATTTTTTCAAGGTCAAAATTCACATTCATGCAATGCTGAAGCTCGGGTCACTCCACAAGACAACAAAAAGAAGTCCTACTGTCTTTCGTCTTTCGACCTATGACTATCACTAGCCAAACCAGGCAACCAGGCTCCACATCTTTTCTTTTTTCTCCACAGCCAATATTCTTTGCTTGTTCGCTCGGACGAGGCTTCCACGGTCAAATTTCAATGGCCAATGATTGCTTTGAGCTTGGCTTTGTTCAAATCTTGTTCTATTCTTGAATATTGTTTTGTTCTAATCTGTTCTTCCTCTCATTTCACCTAAATTCTGTTTTATTCCAATTTTTGTTTAGTTCCATTGTGTTTTTTATGTCTTCTTATCTCAGGCTTGTGCAGTCTTTCTTGTCCAGTGTGTATATTCATGTCAATCAAGCCTCATGGATTGAAATATCTCTAGTCTCTAGGCTCTCCTATGTAGTGTAGGGCTCTAGTACACTGTATGTATTCAATAGTGTTATACCCTGATAGTAAAGCATATTGTAGATCTCTATGCTAGGTAAGCTTCAAGCTTGTTATATATAAGACAAATATAAATACTACAATATTTGAGGTCTCCTTGGGATTTTATTTTCCCTTACTGCTATTGGCCTACAACAAGGTCAGTACAGCGAAAAGAAGAATCTACATTTGAAAAGACTTTATAACTTTTGGAGAATGCTGTGATGCCAAGCTATACATAAGGCTGAGGACAGTCACGTGAAGCCGGCATCATCGCGCCCCCTCTTATCAATCCAACAACAACACCCGACTTGATCCTCTTTTTCTGCAGGCGTAGTCCTCGGCCAAGGATGATTTAGCTTGTACGATGACCCTGAAGCTTCAATTTAAACAACGCACGGGCTTTTTTTCCTATTCCTAGCCCGGATCTGCTCCAAGTCCCTAACTGTAGCTTGATCCCGACATCATCGGTTATCGGCTCCAAGACATTCACAACTTCCTACCTTCACTTCTCCAACATGATACCGTGGTCATCCTTCGTTCAGAAGGCTCAGAGCCTGATTGATCCTGCCAATTTCAACATCCCCGCCCTATCCTCTCCCGATCATAATCCCTCCAAAGCATCGCTGTTCCGGCAACAGTTCCGCCTCCCTGATTCCCAGAACCCGCTCCAAGAGATCACCGCCGATCTCGTTCTCCCACTACCGAATTCGTCGGCAAATCAAGGAGATGGCTCCCGCAGGGTTGACCGGGCAGGAAACACATATGCTGGGCGTCTGCATCTGAGTGAACGTTTCATCTGCTTTTCAACCCAGCCGACGAGCTTCATTCCCTCTGCCACAGCAAGTGCCTCAACCACTTGGACCGGCCAAACCCACGGCACTGGGCCATCTGGCAATGGATTCATTCTCCCGCTATCCTGCATACGACGTGTGGAACGCCTTCATAGCGCCAGCAATGTTTTCTCCCTGGCGCTCACAACATGGAATGGTCTGCTCTATAAGCAACAAGAACCCAACTTCGCCCCCCAACGCCTCATATTGCAGCTTGTCGGTAGCAGACAGGCCTGCGAAAGATTCTGTGACACGCTGAAAAAAGGCCTGCGGGAAGGAATGAAGGAGGTTGACAGCTTGCGGACCGTCGTCTCGGATTGTTATTCGGAATATCTGCTCTCAGGTGCAAAAGGGAAAGGACAAGATGGGAATGAGGCTGACACTCGTCAACCCCCGGATGCGGGGCTGGGTTTGATTTTCCGCTACCCTGGTGATGCACGCAAGCTGCGTGATCGCAGCAAGATGAGACTTTGGGGCGAATATTTCAGAGGTAAAAAGACATCCATATTTATTTTGATTGTATATTCCAGCATCTGACTGATATCCTCTAGAAAATGGTCGCAATGCTACGTTGGTTCGCCAACCAACCTTCCATAAGCTAATCAGAGTCGGGTTGCCCAATCGGTTACGCGGAGAAATATGGGAGCTTACATCCGGTTCTCTGTTCCTTCGTCTACACTCTCCGATGCAATATCAACAGACCTTAGCCAAATTTGAGGGACAAGAATCCCTTGCTATCGATGAGATTGAGAAAGATTTGAATCGCAGTTTACCAGAGTATCCTGGTTTCCAGAGCGAAGAAGGCATTGGACGCTTGCGACGAGTTCTCACTGCGTACAGTTGGATTGACCCGGAGATTGGATATTGCCAAGCCATGAACATTGTGGTTGCCGCATTATTGATGTGTGTTTAGAATCTCAAATTGCTAAGGGCGTCTGCTAACTTGAACAGATATATGTCAGAGGCCCAGGCTTTTTTCCTTCTTTCTGTGCTATGTGACCGTTTACTCCCCGGTTACTATTCAACAACAATGTACGGCACACTACTCGATCAGAAGGTGTTTGAGTCTCTAGTTGAGAAAACAATGCCGGTTCTCTGGGATCACCTCACAAAATCAGATGTGCAACTTTCTGTGGTATCGTTGCCATGGTTTCTCTCCCTCTATATTAACTCCATGCCACTCGTCTTTGCTTTCCGTGTCTTGGATGTGTTTTTCTTAGAGGGCCCAAAAGTCCTCTTCCAGGTCGGCCTTGCCATTCTCCGAGTTAACGGCGAGGAGCTTCTCGAGACACAAGATGATGGATCATTTATCTCTGTCTTGAAGTCATATTTCTCAAGACTGGATGAATCTGCCCACCCGAGATCAGAGAATCCCAAGCTGCGCGCCATTACTAGATTCCAAGAATTAATGGTTGTTGCCTTCAAGGAGTTTTCTGGCATCACCCACAGCACAATCACCGAGACGCGCGAAAAGCACAAGGGTGCTGTGCTAGAGAATATCGAGACTTTTGCAAAGCGTACTTCTATCCGCAACCTTGGACCCGAAAGCAAACGCCTGAGCGTGGATGATCTTGGAACGATATACGATCGCTTCTATGAAACGTTGTACCAGTGGGAACAGCACCAGAGAGTTATTGAGGAAGAGACAAGGCGGCAAGAGAGGAAGAAATCCTCACGCCTTTCCATGCTTGCTCCTCCGGCGGATACCCAAGTTGGCCGTGTTGGTCTTGGACCTAGCCCTACACATATGGATTATGATGCTTTCCGGGAGTTCTTAGCCGCCACATCTAAATGGGCGGTCGCCGACTCCCCTGGACCATCGAGAAAAGAATCCTCATCAGGAAAATCGGCATTGTGGGCGAACCGCAGACAGCCAGCAGATCATGAGTTCATGCAGCGCCTCTACCGCAAGTGGGCCACAGACCCCGAGGAGGGATTGGATCTCCAAAATGTGGTGAATGGTCTCGCCCGCCTGAAGGGGTCCCCCGACATCATGAATAACATCAACTATTTCTTCGACCTGTACGATGACAGTGGAAATGGCCAGGTTGATCGCGAGGGGATCCTAAAAATGTCCGAGGCGCTGTTGTTCCTCTCCCGCCGTGGGTTTGAGGGCACAATCACGGCCACTCCGTCCGTGGAAAATCTGAACTCGGGAGACCGCGACCATGCCGATAACTCGCTCACTACTGACGAGAAATTCCTGGGTAGTGTCAGCGCATTCATCCGTCGCTGTTTCGAATATGCCGACCCCAGCCACCCAGAGAACCAAAAAACAGCCCAGCAAGATGCAACGGCAGAGGCAACTGAAAAGCTGGACTCATTTGCCATTGGCGACGACGACGAAGAAGAAGAAGATCTGATTGATGTTGATGATGTCAAGTCCACCAGCTCTCCAGCACCAGACACAAACCTTCAGTCAGCTAAGTCTACCACCGCCGAATTAGAAAACAACGACCATAACCGCTCTACATCTGAGTCTGCCAACCCAGCTCTCGATCCTAATAACCCCCTGCATATCACTCTCCCTACTTTCCGAATGGTTGTCCTGGCCGACGAACTTCTAGAGCAGTTCTTTGAATCCTACTTTCCTCAATCCTTCCATCTCTCTGACCACCCTCACCCCGCGGCCCTGGCCGCATCTTCCTCAATGTCGTCCAACCTCACAACTTTCTCCAACCTCGGCAGCATCCGTTCCTCCGGGCTCGCCGCCGGCTCAGCAGCCCCCGTCGCCGGCGCCTCAGGAGGCATCGTCCCCCCAGGTAAGGGCCTACGCGGCGTTCTCGACAACATCGTCTCAGATGGAATTCGCATGGCAGCCGAAGTCAAAAAACGAATGGACGAGGCGCAACGCGACCTCGAGCGCAACGCTCTCGGCCGCGAGGAAGAAGAAGACGATGATGACGATGACGACTATCCCCGCCGTGAGAGCAGTGCCGCTGCCATCCCTGGTGGTACCCCCAGCTGGGGCGCTGGCGCATACGGCGGTGATACGGAGCGCCGTAGCATCGTCCGTGACGCTGACCGTGACCTTCTTGAAGGAGCCGAGGTACTTGACGGCGGAAAGGAAGAGAGAACTTCTCTCTTGGACGGAAATGCGGACCACGCTCCTCGCAAGGTCTCCAGCTCTGCAGCTTCTGCTAAGGGCCGTGGTTCTCCCACAGTCCGTGATGGCGAGGTTATTAGCAAGCTCGTCGAGTTTGAGTCATGATTTTCTTGCATACTGTCTCATGTCATATACAGTTGGCCATATGGTTTTCTCATCGCCGGTCCCTTCCAAGGTTGGTTTGGATCGGCGTGAAAATGTGTACTACAATCCCTGGTTTGGATGTTTGAATTCATCTTTCGAGTGCGTGGAGCCCGTCGGATTAGAAACTGGATATTTTAGATCCCTTTTAGAAAGAATCTACTACTGGATCATTTCTTGTTTATTGGGCATATTGATTTGGCGTAGCACTCTTCGTATATGTACCAAATTCTACGGGGTATTCGCGATTCACGTAAACACCATGTCGAGATCAAAGGATAGATTTGATATCTATATGTTTCCACCAACAAAATCAAAAATTCGTAAGGGCAAAGTGGCCCATAAAACAAAAGTGTTCTGAATTCAGAGAATCGTCAAGTCATGAGATGTAATGACGTTTTCTATGTACAGCAAGCATTATCATCAAGCAGGCTGGAACAACCCCATGGAATGGGAGCGATCAATCACCACTAAACCTTCGAACTAGAATGGCATCGTGTGATGACGACGCAGGAGAAGAAGAAAAAAGGGTATAAAACAAGCATGAACATGGAGAATCGGAACACCGTCCATGGGAAGGTGATACCGAATGAATGCCCAAAAGTAGAAAGGGACGAAAAGGGGGGTAGGCGAATGAAAGGTGCTCAAAATGGCGAGGGAGAAGGGTAAGCTGTGTGTGGCAGATGCAAGCTCCAAGAAGTATGAAACCCAAATAGATTAAATGCGAACCATCGGGATCCAAAAACGGTCGACTGGTATTTTGATTTAGTCTTTTTGTCCCTCATTCTCGAGGAGCTCCAAGACAATCTGGCGCCGCTCATACTCTGGATGTTGCATGCAGATTTTGACTGTGTTGCCCAAGCCCGTGGGGGCTGGGATGCCATTGGTGGCGCTGGAGAAGCCGCTGGCAAGACTCATCGCGGCGCCGGTGTTGGTCTGTGCACTTCCATTGAGCGAGCCAGGCACCTTGCTGCCGTCATCGATGCAGACGACATTATGGCCGGGAATGACCTGGCGTAAGCGGCCGTTCATTGCGTTGCGGACTTCGACGAAGTCCTCATTGAAGAGGATCAGGAACTTGCCATAGAGACAGGCTGTATGTGCGCTGCCCACGAACTCCATGACTACACTGCGAGAGACGTCGCCGTGCTTGTTGACGTACACAGCGCACTGCTGGTAAGCTACTAGGAACTCGCTCTCGCTAAGGCGGAACATTCCTAATGGCTTGAGTCCGCTGATACGATTGGCAATGCTGTCTAGGGTATCGTGCGCATCTTGGGTATCGTTGGAGCTAAAGTCTGGGACAGACCATGAATGTTTCTTGTCAAGGGTGAGGACTTCAATGCCCTTTTGGGTTGAGATGGCAAGCGAGGAGTGGAACATGTTAATTCGGTAGGTTTCGGCAGGGATGTAGAACTCGTCGTAATCGCGGAAGAACTCCGTTTGTGAGCGACGTGAAAACAGGCGGCTCTTATTCGTGGATGATTTCTGCATGACGGGCTCCAGAACCTAGATTTTGTGTGTGAGTTTGCTGTTGCTGTATGAGTTCGCTGCAGCTGTACATACCTTGAATGTAGATGATAGTCCCTCACGCTTTTTGTATATAACCAAGTACCGATCCTTCAGACGACCAGCGGCAAAGAAGCCCACCTCACGGTTTCCAGACAGCTTCTGTGGGGCTCGTCGAGCAGAATCCTGGGACGACTGGGAGGCTTTCCCATTGGCGGGACAGACCACGTCGAGGTGGTATGCAATCAAAGACCGATCTGCAATCAACAAAAGCAAATTGAAATCCTCAAACACGGCCACTTGTGTGACCCGCATGATGGGGATGGCCCTGTACCAGCCCCGCGGGTTATTGAGCTCAGACATGTATAGTCCATTTTCTGTGCCAATTGCACACATAACGCGCCCAGGCGGCTGTTGGAAAACCGTGGCACAGTGGACTGCAGTCTTGCAAATTGCTGTAGGGCGAGTGTTCGAGGTTTCATGTTGCTTCTCGACTTCTTTGATCGCACGATGGAGAGGGGTGCCCTTGATGATGACACTTTTAGAGCCAGGTGTCTGATCAGAGTATGCGAACGCAGTGTCAGCAACGACACGCAGTCGGAATGGCTCGGCGTTCTGCGAGAAGAGAGCAGCGGCATGCTTTGTCTTCGCTTCGATAATCTTTTGGCACCATTTCGCCCGGCTTTGTACTGAGAAAGCGTAGAGAGTATATGTTCCAGTTTTGCCTAGATGCTTGATTTTGAAAGGGTATAGGATCTTGTCGTCCCTTGAGCTGTCAGCAGCCCCGTTTCCTCCAGATCCACCAGACCCCGAATGTGCAAGAGGGCTTGCAGCACCCGCTTGGGAGGGCGTGACAGTCGAAACTCCCCTGACGGATGATTTGACCACAGGATCATCGTCGGTGCTTTCCAAGCCCAATAGGTCCATTGGGATAGGCAGTTTTGAAATATCGTATCGCTCATACTTCACTGCCCGGTCACGCATTGTGAATATTTTGGCAAGAACCAGATAGTGGTCGAACAGGATGGCATGTGTATCGACGAGGAATCTCGTGCGGGTTCCAGGACGTTGCAGCTCGCCTCGATAGATGATCTGTCGGCCCAAGTGTTCGAGATTGAGTTCAACTTCCTTCTTCATGTCGGGTCGCAATTGCAGCTTGGATGCCAACTCCATCAATTCGGCCTTCTTGTTCATCTCTCCCACTTTGTTGTCACACTCTAGTGCCACAACCTTGATCTCTTCAATGGCTTGTGCCAAATTTGTCTTTTCTTCGGAATCCTTGGCCATATTCTTGCGGACAGTCGCCAACAGAAGAGTATATCGCTGGATTCTGGTAATCGGGGCTTTGAGGAATGTATCCCAGCTGAGGCGGCTTGACAGTTTGTGGTCCTGCACTTGGCTCAAGAACTGCGCAAAGTGCGGATTTCGCTCAGACTCCTTGCGCATAAGATAGTTTGCCGTTGGGAAGGTTGCAGCATAGTCGATGTAAACATTCTTAGCTTTGCGAATCCATTCCCGGAAGATGTCACTGAATCCAGAGATGAAAGGTCCTTGTTCTTTTTGACGGTATTTGAGTTGTGCCAACAGGAAATCCTCGTTGACTCTCTTCACAGCATCGACCTTGCCAAAAACGTCTGCCAAGAATTTGGGCAATCGCTTCGCCGGGATGATCGGAGGATTCATCTTGCCCAATTGATCACGATAAAGTTCTCGTAGGACATCCAGTTGCGCCATGTAGGAATCTTCTGTAGTGACAATTTCGTGCAAATTGTTCTGTCGCTCGACCTCTTCCTTCGGATGAGCTTCAAAGACCTCCCTGGGCACCTTGTAGAAAGTGACCCAGTCCTCGATTTTCTTCTGCGGTGCCATCATCTGTGCCTTGAGGTTGACCTTCTTCAATGTCCGCATACAGTGATGCGAGTAGCATCGACCGAAACTATCAGTATCCTCAATGTGCATCTCATGTAAGTGAAGCCTCGGAGAGTAACATCCAGTGCCAGTGATCTGGAACAGGATACCCGAAAGAGTTCCTGAGCCAAACTTGACCCATTCTTCTTCTTTTACCAATGCACCTTCTTCAAGCATACCGCTGACAACTCGAGCAGCCAGTGTCTCGGCATCAGCAATATTCATGGTGGGGACTTTGTGGGTGAACAACGCGACCATGGCATCGGCAATTGTTTGCTCTCTGAGATCTGATTCATCCTCACTCAGATCTTTAATCCAGGACAAGAGAGAACTCAAGGCCCACGGCTCGCTACACTTCTTGAATTGCTCCGACGACAGCTTCGCGAGATGGAACTTCTTGCGCCGGCTAGGTGGGATGCTTGGCAGATCCAGGGCCATAGCCGCCATCGCTGCGGCCGCTGGGTCGATATGAGGTAGATCCTTTTGCTGAAGCTGCAGGAGGAGTTCTTGCTGCTGCTGCTTGTATCTGAGCCGGTCCCGGTCGGCATCGGTCTTAGACCTGATAGGCGCATCAGTACGAGGCCCAATAGGAGTCGACAAAGATGACGACCGCGGAACTTGGGACGGGCTCAGCATAGCATCGCCATGAGGGTCCGCAGAAGTCGGCAAGTATGGGTTGTTATACTGCAGATGACTACCCAAGTCATCCTGCTGCCCCGAGTAGGGGTTGTATGTGCCCGCTGGCACCAAAAGCCCCAAGAGCTTATTATTACCAGCAGTCCCAACAGGTGCTGGTGGCAATGGACGCATCTCAGGGTGGAAGAACAGATCATCATATGTGGATCGGTCATGGCTCTCGTCGTCGGACTGATCTCCAGAATGGGTCTGATATGGTGTTTCTCCTTCATCGCCATAGTCAAAGCTCATCCGTCGGTAAAAAGCATCGGGTGCCGCCAGCCCCCTGTGCCACTGGCATCTACTCTGGCATCAGCTGGCGCATGATGGAGGCGTCTGGCATATTTATATGCAATAGGCGGATGCCCGTATTCATCAAGATACTCACCACGGTCATCAGGAGACACAGAGCTTTTGAATGAACCAGATGTGCCTGGAAATCCGTTGCCCATAGTAGAGTCTAAGAGCCCTTCACCATAGTACGGCTTTGCTTGGTAACCTCCTTCGTACTGTGCTAGGTCGAAAAGATCATTATTTTCATGGGGATCAGAGTGCGATGAATGCCCTCCTGGCGATATGTTGGATCCACGTGAGCTGGGAACTGAGGTATTGGTCTCACGTCGCATCCGCCCTTGAAGACGCTCCTCGCGCGCTTCGTCTTCTTGCATCATACTCAAGCCAAAGCCACCAAGAGCCTCGGGATCGCTTTCATCACTGTGCGCAATATTATGCCATGCGTCACCTGTCTCCATATTGCCGTTGGTGTGAGTGTGTTCCTCATCAGGCGAGAAGTGCATGCGCGAAACAGAGCTAGCATGGGATGCTCTAGAGCTGTGACGCCGGGCAAAGTTCTGAGAATCCAATGCTGCCGC